CTGCCTCTCCAGATGAGCCTTCTCTGGCCACCCCGTGCCCACTTGGCCCCAGCCTGGGCTCGCTTTCTCTGCCTCTTCTGTTACTCTCAGGTCCTGCATGGTATAAACAGTCTCCCAACCACTGGGCTTATTCTGTGCCGCCACTCCTCAGTTGGGGTTCCGTAAGGCACCTTATTCTCATGCACAGCCATGTCTCCTCCTCCTGTGCCTGGTGCTAACCAGACTCTTTAACTGTTTTGTTAAAGGGATGGATGGGTGGATGGATGGGGGATGGGTGGGGGGATGGGTGGGTGGATGGGTGGGTGGATGGATGCTCAAAAAGCACCAGGACCCAAGGGACAGTAGAGGACACTGTCCTGCAGCTGGTACTGACCTGGAAGAGGGACAAGAGCCCTGAGTCTGATTCTCCCCCACAGGGTCCTTCCAGGTGGTGGCTCCGCCCTCGCTGAAATCATCAACCCCAACTACATGGGGGCGGGGCCCCTTGGGCACCTGAAGCAGGTGCTGTCCCCCGATCATCAGCCCTCAGCCTGGAGCTATGAGCAGCCGCTCAAGGACTCCTACCTGGGCCCAGGAGTCGGGGAGAGCCCCCCGACCCCGCCCTCCCAAGCGCCCATCTCTCCGAAGAAGCTGTCATCCTCATCACGGGGCCCCGGCCCTAGGACTCAGGAGTCAAGGTGAGCAGTCCTAGCCCTAGGCTTTCACCTCCAGAATCCAGGCCTAGAATGGAAGCTGCCTGAGGACAGGGGTGCTTGGCTCTGGGCTGGGAACGTAGTTGGCACGGAAGAACTGCTTGCAGAATCCCCAGTTCTGACCCTGTTGCACACACTTGAAAGATATTTTAAAATAGGATACAAAATTGTGAAGATACTGCAAAAAACCAAAACCTTCCTATAAAAACTACAGTTCTTCAAAATGTGTTTCTACAACCCCGGAGCCAGCTGGCTGTCCCCCCCTCCCCGGAGGGCCCAAGGAGCAGAGCTGGGCTTCGTGCGGGAGCCGGCCACCCTCAGGTCCCCCTTCTCACCAAGAAGAAGGTTCTTGTTCCCATAGGGAAGCACCTGTTGCTGAAGATTGGGAAAGGCAGGGACTAGGGCCAGGAGTGTCAACTGGAAGGAGAGAACTAGGCTACAGAGGGTGGAGCTGCCTGGAAGCTTCTGGAAGGGCTAGAAAAAGTGGATCTGCGTCTCGAGCTGGTCCAGGCAGCACGCGTCGGGACACAGGGCTGGCCAGCCAGGGCATGGCCTTGTCTCTCCTGTACCGGCACCAAGCAAGCCCATCCGTGGGAAACGGGGGAGGCACCCCACAAGCTCGTCCGACCCCGGGTGACAGGCAGACATCAAGAGTGTGGGTTCCAGTTAACAGTGAATAGCCACAAAGCGGCTGTCTGAGGGGCTTCGGCCTCTGGCCTCTCAGCCCTGCTGCTGTCTTCTGATGCGCTATCAGCTATCGGAGCCGGGGTGGGGAGCCCCAAGGAGGAAAGCACTCCCCCACTTGCCACCACTTCCCCTCCCACACCTGGCAGGCTGGGGTGTCCTCTGGATCGCGGGCAGTGCCTGCTTTTCTCCCTATGTTCTTTCTCTTTGAAACACACTAGGTGGGAGGACGGGGCCTGTGTGGGGCGGGACAAGGTAGGGAAGTGGCCCCAACTTGACCTACCTGCCTACCTCTAGTTTTCACAGTTTAGTGATAAAGTTTTTTGACTCTGGTCATTTGTAAGAAATATGGGGAAGGAGAAGCCGTCTCCTCTCCCCCCAACTCTGCCCCACGCCGGCACAATGAGGACAGCAGCTGCTATGCAGGGTAGAGGCCGCTGGCCCAAACCACAGCCGTGGCAGGTGGACCCCAGGAAACAAGATTGGTTACTCGGTTAAATGGAATGTTTTTGCGTTCTCAAAGTAAAGGTGCCTTTGAGCTGGACGCCCTGAAGGCCTGTGGGAACCGGTGAGGAAGGGCTTCCTGTGGTCCCCCAAGGCATCCTGGGGGCTTCTGAGCTCACTTCTCACCCTGGAGGTGACTAGAGAGGACAGGCCGGCTCCCCCACGCCAGCCTACAGCCCTTTGCTGCTCCCAACTTGGGCTCAGCCCTGGCGAAGACAGGAAAAAGGGGGTGTTGTCATCACCCACATCTCTGGTTATGCAACTGTTTCCAGTCTCTCCAAAAAGCCATGAGCAAAAAAAAACCCCAAGTCTGCAGTGAAGCCTCCTCTGGCATGTCGCTGCGGCTAGCCCACCTCACACCACAGGGCCTGCCCAGGCCACGCCGCCCTGCCGAGCCCGCCCAGGGTGCTGGGCGTCCCGGAGCAACGTCTCGGCAAGGCGCCGCCACGGAGCACAGTGTGTCTGGGACCCCGCAGCTTCCCCGTTTTGCAGAAAGCAGGCCTAGAACACTCCCCTGGGAGAGGAAGCCGTTGGACAGGAAATAAAATGTGTTCCCGCTCCTGGTTCTCATCATTTGCTCAGCAGGAAACCACCCCAGGGAGAGCTGACAAGTCGGAAGCAGCAGAGCAGCGGGCCGGCCCAGGGCTGCAGCTTGAGCTGCCCGGGACACCGACTCTGGCTCCTGCCTCGCCTCCCTCGTGCTCCGCCTCAGCTTCCTTCTGGTTTTCGCATCAGCTGTTTTCCCTCCGCTGGTGTTAAGGCGCCGAGGAAGCCTCTCTTGGAGACGGCCAGGAGAGGGCTTTCTATGCTCGGGAAGAACATTAGTCAGGAACCCTGAGCACAGAGCTTGGTTCATGGCCTCCTCCCGTGCCTGGGGCGGTGTCCTGCAGGGGACACCCACGTGCCTATTAAATAGGGGTTCCTGGAACGGGAGTAAGCATGGTCCCTCAGGAGGTCACATTGTCTACAAAGCTTCTGCTCTCTGAGGGTCAGAGCCGAGTTTGCTAGAGAAGGTTGGGGGGCCAGGACGCAGCAGTGATGGGGGGAGCCCTGCAGCAGGCTCTGATAAGGACAGAGGGGGTTTGATCCTGGGCACCTGGAGACCCCCCTCCCTCCAGCAAATGCTGACCGGTGCAAGCCAGTGCGCTGTGGTGTGCTGTTGATGGCGGGAAATGTTCCAGGCAAGAACTGAGCTCACCCAGGAGGTGGCTGAGCTGCACGAGCTCGCTGCTAGTTTGTATTGATGAGGGGAGAGGCACGCGGCCTGGAGAGCACTGACCAGAGCCACCGGGTGCTGGTCGCTGGTGTGTAACCCCCACCCCTGGCTCTTCCAAGACGCTTAGCCCCGCAAAAGAAACACCCGTCCCCTGGAGTGGAGACGCCTCACTCACGTGTTGCTTCCCTGCCGTTCCCCTCTTTCCAGGTCCGGGGACGCAGGCAAGAACACTGGGGAGCCTTCGCCGGAGGCCCTGGACCTGACCAAGCCCGAGATGTTCGAGAACCCACTGTACGGGTCTGTGAGTTCTTTTCCTAAGCTGGTTCCCAGGAAAGAACAGGAGTCCCCCAAATTGTCGCGGAAGGAGCCCCCGCCCTGCCCGGACGCGGGAATCCTGTCGCCCAGCCTCCTACTGCCCAAGCCCCAGGAGCCCGAGGGCGGCAAGGGCGGCAAGCCCGTTGCCGCCGCCTTCCTGAGCCCCACGCCGCGGCTGCGCTCCTTCAC